AAAGATGGTTGTGAGCCAGTGTGATTTCTGGGAATTGAACTCTTAACCTCTGAGCCATATCTTCAGCCCCTCTCCCCACCCCCACCCCCCTTTTTTTTTTCCCAAGACAGGGTTTCTCTATGTAGCCTTGGCTGTCCAGAACTCACTTTGTAGACCAGGCTGGCCTCGAACTCACAGAGATCCACCTTCCCCTGCCTCCCACGTGCTGGGATTAAACCTATGCACCACCATGCCTGACTTATTTCTTTATAGTGATAAACATTTTTAAACATTATTTTTTTCCTAAGGAGGTAGAGGCAGATGGGTCTCTGAGAGGCCCACATGGTCTCCAGAGAGAGTTCTAAGACTAAGGGAAAAAAAGGATGGGGGGAAGTAGGCTTACCTTCACTCTAAGGAGGACAGGTGCAGCATGAGCAGTATCTGGACAGCCCTTGGTGATGGTCTTGACAAGGAAGAAGAAAGAGGAAGAGGGTGTGTGTGTGTGTGTGGGGGGGTAGCTCACTTGCTAGAGTGCATGAAGCCGGGGGGGGGGGTGTTCTAACCTGCATAACCCCCCTCCCCCGACTCCACCGGGTGGGGTGGTGTTGCCTACCTGTACTCCCAGGCAGGGGGAGCAGAGGTTCAAGGTCATCCATTCATCACAGAGTGAGCTGGAGGCCAGCCTAGGCTACACAGGACCCGTCTCAGAGAAGAGAAAGAGCCTTTGTCTCTGTGAGATTGTGGCTTCTATCCCGTTTGGTGGTATGACGTTGAGCAGGCTGGTTTGTGGGAGAGGCGGACACCAGTTCTGGAATCTCCTAGAGTGCAGCCTTCCAGAGGATGGCTCCACCATCAAGTTCTTGACTGGATTTTTACATGAATAACTGTCAAAGGATAGTAACTGCCCCTGCCTCATTTACACATATTTAGTGGTGTTAATGTTTAGCCATTTAACATGATGCCTCATCCTTCTAACTTCTGAGAGAAAAACAAAATCTCCCCAGGCCACCATCGTCTCAGTTCACTCAGGATTTATACCAGAAATGGGTTTTTGTCTCTTCTTGGCTGCTACATAATACGATTATGTAGTTTCAATTTTATTTTATCATCGTGATTAATTATATTGATGGGTTTCCTAATACTGAACTATTCTTAAGGATCTGACATAAATTCTCTTCTTAGGCTTGTTCTTAGGCACTTAATAGTTTTTGTTGCTATTGTGAATAGAATCTTATTTCCCATTACACTTTCTAATTGGCTATTGCTGGTATATAGGAAAGCTATTGATTTTTGTACATTGATCTTGTATGTAGTCACCTTGTTGAATTCTCTTATTAGTGGTAATAGTTTGACGATTGATTTTTCTTAGGCTTTTCCATGCCGGGGAGTGTCACCTGTGAAAGCACATGCCCCTCCTCCGTGATGCCTGGGCCTCTCACAGTCCTCTGATGGAATTATCAGAATACCCGGCGCCATTTTGCACTGTAGGGGTGGTTGAGGCCGGTCCTGCCTGGTCTCCAGGTCTGGCTAGAGCACTTGTGCTGTTTTACCAGCCCTTCTCATTGACAGCTATTCCATTCCTGCTTTGTTGGGAGAGTCTTTTCTATCATGTCAGTCTGGGGAGTTGAATTTATCAAGACAGTCATATTTTACCTTGAATTTATTCAATAAATTAAGTTGATACATACCTTGTTTTTTTTTGTTTTTTTTTTTTTTTTGTTTTTTTTTTTTGAGACAGGGTTTCTCTGTGTGTCGCCCTGGCTGTCCTGGAACTTGCTCTGTAGACCAGGCTGGCCTTGAACTCAGAGATCTGACTGCCTTTGCATCCTGAGTGCTGGGATTAAAGGCATGCACCACCACAGTCCAGCTGAATAAGTGTCTTTTATGTGTGTGTATGTGGTACTGGGGATTGGACCCAAGGTAGTGCCCGTTCTAGGCAAATGCTCTACCACTAAGCTATATGCACCGGGCATATCTTTTATTTTAAAAATATTTATTTGAGTGTGTGTGTGTGTGTGTAAAACGTACTAAAACACACACAAGTTTGCTTGGAACTCCGCCTCCCGAGTGCTAGAATCGCAGATGTGAGCCACCGCATCAGGCTCTGATCTGTGTCTTGGTGATGAACCATCCTGGCATTACCATTAGCATTTACTAATCTTTGGATTTACTAAGATTTTTTTTTAAAGATCAGGCTGGTCTTGAACTCACAAAGATCTGCCTGCCTCTGCTCCTGAGTGCTGGCATTAAAGGCGTGTACTTCCACGCCCTGCCAGTTGTTCTTTTAATACACTGCTCATTTTATTTGTTCACATTTTCCTTAGGCTTTTTGCTTCATGGTTTGAATTGACTTATGAACTCCCTCTTACTGTTTTTGTCTGGCTTTGGTTTCGAGATGTGTTAGGAGACTGTTTTGGGCGGCTTTCTATCTTAAACAGTTAATACAATATGAGAATCCTATGTTCCTCCAAGGCTTTCTTCTCTTTTTTAATCTCTGATATTGACATTGTGTGTGCTGCTTTCCCTAGGTTGAAACGAGGGCCCTTTCTGATGTATTTTATTATTTGAGTTTATGTGCATGTGTATGCATTGCCCTCAGAGGCCAGAAGAGGGCATCGGATCCCCAGCAATCGAAGTTACAGGCTATCTTGAGCTGCCTGAAGTAGATGATAGGAACCAAATTCCAGTCATCTGCAATAGCAGCAGGTGCTCATAACCAGGGAGCCAGCTCCACTTGTTTGTTTCTCTCTCCCCACGTCCTCTGTTTGTGTTTCTGTCTTCTGTCTTTCTGTTTCATCTTTTGAGATGAAGTTAAACTCTGGACCAGTCTGGCCTGAAACTTACTGGGTAGTCCAGACTGGCCTTACCTTTGTGGTGATCCTTCTGCTGTCCTGAAATTCACTATGCAGACCAGGCTGTCCTTGAAGTCAGAAAGCTCCATCTGCCTCTGCCTCCATCATGCTGGATTAACTTGCCCAGCCCAAGTTACGGATAGTTGTAAGCCACCACGTAGGTGCTGGGAACACAACCCAGGTCCTCCTTGAGGCAGCGGTGGCGCACACCTTTAGTCCCAGCACCTGGGAGGCAGAGGCCGGCAGATCTCTATGAGTTTGAGGCCATCTGGTCTACAGAGCAAGTTCCAGGACAGCCAAGGGTACACAGAGAAATCCTGTCTTGAAAATTAAAAAAAAAAAAAAACAAAAACAAAAACAAAACAAAACAAAAAACCCTAAAATCAAACCAAACCAAAACCCAGGACCTCTGGAAAAGCAGCAAGTGCTCTTAACCACCGAATCTTCTCTCAGGCCTTTGTTTATTGTTTATATCTTTTGATGAACATTAGCAATTATCTTCATCAGAATGTATTCATGAATCTACAGAACACAGGAGTAGAGCTGCTGTGGCGGGAGATCTATGTACAGTTAACTTTAGTAGACAGGATCAAACAATATTTCTAGGTGGCTATAACTACTGAACTCCCACCAGCAATGTGTTAGATTTCTGTTGCCCTACAACCGTACCAAGATTTAATATTGTCTATCATTTTATTTTTAGCCACACTGGGTGTGTGTGTGTGTGTGTGTGTGTGTGTGTGTGCAGGAGGGAGATGTCAACTAAAATTTTGGAGTAAAGAGGAAGTAGACTAATAATTGTTAAGGAAGTTGAAGTGATCCTTAGACTTCCTTGTTAAAACAAGAGCCTTGGGCCATGCCTAAATATTAACAATCTAAGCACATACATATGGTGTCTGTGTTCATGTGTGTGTGTGTGTGTGTGTGTGTGTGTGTATGTGTATTAGGGTTATTATTGCATCATGACCAGAAAGCAAGTTGGGAAGGAAAGAGTTCGTTTGGCTTACACTACCACGTTGCTGTTTATCACCAAGGAAAGCCAGGACAGGAGCTCAAGCAGGGCAGCTTGAAACCTGGAGGCAGGAGCTGATGCCGAGGCCTTGGAGGGGTGCTGCTTACTGGATTGCTCCCCATGGCTTGCTCAGCCTGATTTCATGTAGAACCTAGGACACCAGCCCAGGAATGGAACCACCTACAGTGGGCTGGGTCCCTCTCCATTGATCACTAATTGAAAAAATGCCTTACAGCTGGATCTTATGGAGGCATTTCTCAATGAAGGTTCCCACCTTTCAGATAGCTCTAGTTTGTGTCAGGTTGACAGCAGTGTGTGTGTGTGTGTGTGTGTGTGTGTGTGTGTGTGTGCACGCGTGCGCGTCTGGGTGCTTGTGCCCACTCTGCATGCACGCGCTATACTGGCTAGAAAAGGAATAAAGATCCACAACTTGTTTTAGGAGGATCCTAAGTTAAATCAAGAAGCTAAAAGCCTAGTCTGGTAGCTCATGCCTGTAATCTCGTCACTGGAGAGGTAGGATGCTGCCATGAGTCAAGAGGCCACCATGGGCTACACAGTAAAACCCTAAGGCAGTGGGGAAAGAAGCAGGTCAGGGAGGGGGAAACAGATAGATGGAGAGAGACAAACAGAGACAGAGAGGCATATACAGAGAGAGACAGAGAGGCACTGACAGCTGGAGAAAGCTAATTTAGCTGCTCTCTGAAAGCTTAGTACAATGGCAATGCCTGGTATATAGAGGCACTTAATGAGCAGAGGCAATTACATTCATTAATCCAGTTAATTAAGAAAAAGCATAGTGTCCCAGACACTGTTAATACTTCACATGTGTTATTGGTATTTCAGTTAAGCAGGTACTGTTACAATTTTCATTTTGTAAACGAAGAAATAGTTTTGAAACAGGCTTTGAGAAATTAAGTGACTTTCCGATGTTACAGAGCTCTCTTTGGGCTTTCTTTTTATTGCCCGGGATACAACGGAGCGAGATAGAAGGCAAATGTCAGAAGCAAGCAGGGAACCACCCCGCAAGCAGACTCCACATGAGCGACTCAGCGTGTGCAGTAGCTTTCACACTAGGTTACCACCCGGCACCTTTTTGTCCGAGCACCACCCGGAAGTGTTTCTGACGGTCGCATTTTTACAACGCACAGCCGGAAGTTTCTGTCCGTGGGTTTGCAGAGAGATAAAAACTGAGGAGAGGGTTGCAGCTAGAGTACTCAGGTGTGGATCCTGGGGGCTGGTGAGTCAGGGAGGACGGTAAGGGACACAGCGCGGAGAGGCGGAGAACACAAACAGAATTCAAACTTTGTTTGGATCTTTCTCTTCGCGGCCCGACTCTTCCCCTGACCCAACTTGGAGCTGGAGTGGCAGGACCAGGGCCCCGCCCCCCGCCCCCCGCCCCTCCACCCCCCACCCCCCACCCCCCAAGGTAGCACGGTCACTCTGCGGGTACTGACTCTTGACCTCGGAGTGCTCTCTTATTTCTCAGGCGTGATGGCTACGGGCGCGGATGTACGGGACATTCTAGAGCTCGGGGGTCCAGAGGGAGAAGCCGCTTCTGGGACCATCAGCAAGAAGGATATTATCAACCCGGATAAGGTAGTAGGGGCATTTGAGGGCGTTGAAGTAAGGGTGAAGGTGTTGGCGAAGGAATGGGAAGGGGTGACACCAGAAGAGAGATAGTGGAAGTGGTATTTCTACCATCATAAAATGCGCGATAAAAGAGCCACAGTGGAACAAAAAGTATGCCATCCTTAATGTGATGAAGAAGATAGGACGCAGGGAGGTGGTGGGGACCAGGAGATGAGAGGATGAAGGCAGTGTGACCCTTGTAAGTTGTTGGGAAGAGAGACATTGTGGCAGTCTTGAGGTGAGAGAAGGATTTCTTCCTTGGCACTACTCAGTTGAGGTCAGAGTGGGGAGAGGAATGACTACTCAGACAGAGTAGAGGTACTCCTGTGAGTGGGTTACGGTGACTTTATTTCAGCATTAGTTTGTTCAGAGATTGTTCTGGGTAAAAAATATTCAGGTAAGGGTAGGTCCAGCTTGACGTTTCTTCCTTGTGGTTTTCTTGCCAGAAAAAGTCCAAGAAGTCCTCAGAGACACTGACCTTCAAGAGGCCTGAGGGCATGCACCGGGAAGTCTATGCTTTGCTTTACTCTGACAAAAAGCAAGTATTGGAATCCCAAGTCCCCTGTGTATCACCCTGCTGCTTGGCATATCCCTACTTCCCTGTCTTCTCCTCCACTTCTTTCCCCAGCTCTCATCCCCAACCAGGGCTTCTTCTGGAGGGCAGCTCAGTGTGTGCTCCAGGACGTGACTTTCTTACTCAGGGTGGACTGAGCTTCTTGGCCTCGTGGTTCTTCACACACCTGATTCTAATCTTTCACCTCCCTAACCTCCACTGCCAGGGATGCACCCCCATTACTGCCCAGTGACACTGGTCAGGGGTATCGAACAGTGAAGGCTAAATTGGGGTCCAAGAAGGTTCGGCCTTGGAAGTGGATGCCATTTACCAATCCAGCTCGAAAGGATGGCGCTATGTTTTTTCACTGGCGACGAGCAGCGGAGGAGGGCAAGGACTACCCTTTTGCCAGATTCAATAAGGTGAGCTGCTGACAGACACAGCCAAACCCATCTGAGCCTCTTATATGAATTTTCCAATCTCCTAGGGTTGGCTCCAGGCGTGCTCAGACCCAGCCATGGCTACCCACTCAGTTCTAAGTCAGGTTCTGTGGATCTCTTTTGCCTATTGGAGTCTGTCTTTCCCTGGATCTACTGTGGCCATTCAGATGTTGCTGATGCTGAGAGCTGTGTCCCAGGTGCTTCTCTCTTCTCCTCTGTACTTCTTTATTGTTCTCATTTAGCCCTGTAGCTTCAGTTACTCCTCAGAAACTAATGACCCCATCCCAGAAGCTCTGATTTACTAACATCCCTTTCTGAGTCTCCCATGGGTGGCTCACAGTGGTACCTTGGAACAGAACTTGTAATCGTTTCTCTATTCCTACTCAGTGAGAGGGACCAATGCACACAGTTGCCTGTTTTACAGGCTTGGGACTCATCTTTGACTTAGCCCTTTCTCTTAGCCATCAACAGCAGGACAAAGAAGAAGGGGAAGAAGATGGCACACATGTAAAGAAAGAAACTGAATTCAGATACATGCTGTAATATGTGATAGAACCAGCATTTGGATGAATAGGAAATGAGATAAATAGTGCATTTATAGGTATAGGAGAGGTCTACTTTTTATTATTTATTTTGTATGTGTACTTGCACATGCCAGCAGATCAGAGGACAACCTGTGAGAGTTTTCTCTCTCCTTTAACCACATGGCCCCCAGGGATCAAACTCAGGTTGCCTGGCCTTCTGAGTTACCTTGCCAGCTCCCAGGGTGGTCAGGGAGGGCCTCTCGTGTATTAGACCTTGTGATATGTCTAATCATTGAGATTGAGTTCTGCTAATTCTGTTCCTATTGCCAATCAAATCTCTGCCTGTGCTCTTCATCCTGTATGCTAGTGTCCTAAACCAAGATCTGTTATTTTTTTTTTTTTTTGGTCTAGGGTATGGGGCCTTATTGAAAGCAAGGCCTTTTCCTGTCTCATCCAGCCATTGAGAAGAAGGGCTAGAGAAGGCTAGGATTGGATAGCTCATGGCTAAGGCACTGTACAGTGTGGCTCAGAACAGTCTAGAATTAGAGCTTAAAACAACCAGGGGCGTAAATTCAGACTCTTCTTAGCCCGATGTTTCTTGTTGTGCCTGGATTAAGCCTCTTTTGGATGGTTTATAGGCTTTCTCAGCCAAGTTATGACCCCACTATCCCCAAACCAGAGTTTCCTTCATCCCACCATCATTCTTAGGACCCTCAGGTCCAATTGATGAGAAACTAGAGACACAGGATAGATAAACCTCAGTGAAGAGGAAGTGGGGGTAGGGGGAGGATTGGGCAAGACAAATATGTTAAGAACACCCAATTTGTATATAGTACTTACTGCTCCAGCATGTTGAGGCCTAAACATTGAGAACAAAATAAATCAAAGTGTCTATCCTTAAAAACAAAAACATCATGTTGTTGAGGGATAGAGGACTATGGGGACAATTGCAGTCCACTGGGAAAAAAGCTATTCAGAGGGCTGGAAGGTTATAGAAGTTTCCTTGATGATATTACTAGGTAGTGCAATGATTTTTTTCCCCCTTTGTGCACATGGAACATAGTGAAGAAAAATCTAAAGAGAATTTAAGAGCCCAGAGGCTCCAGCAGGTAGGCCTGTGGTCAAGTTTGATCCCTGAGACTCAAATGGTGGAAGGAGAGAACAGACTCTGAAATGTTGTCCTCTGACCTCCACATATATTCTAGATACCCTAAATAAAAATCTAACTTAAAGTATAATTTAAAAATTAAAAAGAATTTTAGAGGTTCTGTTTATCGGATGCTCTGGGGGTTCCCATGCTGATAAAGCCTAAAGCTCCGTCCTGTGGAGGGCGCTGTGGTGACCATGCCAGGTGGCCTGTGACAGCTAGGCTTAAGAATTTACGCTTTGCCCTCGCATCTTTGAGGATCCACCCACAGATTTTAAAGTAGAGTCATGCCAACATTGGATGAATTTTGGAAATGTCTGGGTGACTACAAGGTAAAGAATGAAATCAAGAGTTCAGTGGATTCGTGTTCTTTCCAGTTGCTTCTCTTGAGGAGTTTCACTCTCAGACTCTCCTGTTCTTGCTCAGGCCGTGAGTCCAGGAGTCGCTAATGGTGGCATCCTCCTTGGCCCTTCATGCCCAATTCCAGGATTTCCTATTCCTCCAGCCCCTAGGCCTGTACCTTCTCTGCTGCTTTAGTTTGGGCTTATGGCTTCTCATCTCCACCACTGCTGAAGTTAGCTGTTTAATTTCCTACTCTTCTTTCACCCCAGTGCCTTCTCTGCTGTCAGGTGGTCTTAGATAACAAGAAATGGGACCTTAAAAAATTAATTTATGTGTATGAGTGTTTTGTGTGTGTGTGTGTGTTTGTGCACCACTTGGATGCAGTGCCCTGGGAGGCCAAAGGAGAAAGTTGCATCTGAGCCGCCATGTGGGTGCTGGCGATGGAACCCAAGTCTAGAAATGGGATCTTCAGTCTCTTTAAAAGTAGCTGTATTGGATCTTGTCACACCTAGGTGAATTCTAAGCTCCCAGAAGGGCACACTCCCAGTGGCAGCTGGTTTGATTGCTGCATCGGACTCCCTTTAGTCTCTTCTCAGCTGTTTCCTAGCCTGCTTCCAGAAGCCAGGTCTACACATTAGGGTTTTTTCCTTGTATTGTACTTGTGTTGTCCCCCCTGTTCTCCCTCACTGTTTTCCTGTTATTTAACCTTAAGATTCAGCCTTTTATGGCGGTGCACACTTGTAATCCCATCACTTGGGAGGTGGAAGCAGGAGGATCAAGAGTTCAAGGCCATCCTCAGGTATATACTGTCAGGACCAGCCTGGGCTACAAAAGCAGAACAGCACAGGGCTAGAGAGTTGACTTGGTGATCAAGAGTGCTCACTGCTCTTCCAGAACTGGAGCTTGGTGCTCAGGAGCCAGCTCCTGAGGGGCAGCTCCCGGCCACCTCAGACTCCAGCTTCTGGACATCCAATGCCTTCTGGTCTCCACAGCCACATCCCCCCATCCCTTCCCAACAGACACATAAAAATAGCAAAACCAACAATTCAAAGACTAGGCTCAGTTTACCTTTGCTTTGACCAGCTCTGTGCCAGGCTGGTCTTGTTATACCCTCATATTTATCATCCAACTTCTCACACAGTGCCAGTTTTTCTCCAGTTGGATTGCTGCTTTCAGAGGTGACCCATGTTAGCACTGTGTCCCCAGCAGAGACTTAGCAGGCTTATAAGTATTTGTTTAATGAATTGATTGTCTTTTATTTTTCAATTTTTAAAAAATTTTATTGCATTGCTGTTTTTGTCTGTACGTATGTCTGTGTGAGGGTGTCAGATCTTGGAGTTACAGATAGTTGTGAGCTGCCATGTGGGGGCTGGGAATTGAACCTGGGTCCTCTGGAAGAGCAGTCAGTGCTCTTAACCACTGAGCCATCTCTCAAGCCCCTTGATTATCTTCTTGAATTGATTTGAAAACAAGATTGGCCTGAAGTTTGGGACATTTTAAAATGAAATGAAATTATCTGCTTGTGGGGTCATACATCTTTAATCCCAGCACTCAGGAGGCAGACAGCTCTCTGTGAGTTGGAGACTAGCCTGGTCAACAGAGTGAGTTCCAGTTCATCCAGGGCTATGTAGTGAGTCTCAGTCTCTCTCTCTCCCCCTCTCTTTCCTTCCCTCCTTTTCCCTTTCTCCCCTCTCCCACACAACACACAAAAATTACTAGGAGGAACATAGGAGAGGTCAAAAGGATGAAAATGTTCTGTTGGTAGATGGAATATAGAATTAAGAATAAAATTGAGGGCTTGCAAAATGGATCTGTGGTTAGGAGCATTGGCTGTTCTTCCAGAGGATCCAGGTTCAATTCCCAGCACCCACATGGCAGTTCACAACTGTCTGTAACTCCCTTTCCAGGGGATCTGGTGCCCTCATAAAAACATACATGCAGGCAAAACACTAATGTACATAAAATAAAAATAAAATTATTTTAAAAAAGAACAAAGTCAACTGACAGAGCTTGGTGTGTTCTAGTCATTTAGGCTAGAGATTGGGTCCTCAAGGGCTAGTGGCCACAGGAGGCCAGGCCACATGTTCTTTGATGTGCAGTGGCTCTTCACTGGTACCTACGGTGTGCTGAGCCCTAATGATGTGAAATGAACTGACTAAGCTTTGCTGTTGAGTTTGTGAGGTATCTAGAAGGCACTTTATCCAGAACAGTACCTTTCCAAGGAACTGGCGAAATATCTATTTGTAGCCCAGCAGAGACTGAGAAAGACACAGGATTTTAAGAGAACATGCACTCCTGTTTATATTACATTAATGGGCACGCAGCTTTGACATAGAAAAGTGCTTCTCTGTTTCTATTCTTACTGTGCGCCAGTTCTGACAAACTGTACCGGCCTGCCCAAAACTAGCACGGTGCAGACCTTGTTTGCAGATAGAGAATTGATTGGAAGAGAACTGAAGGCAGGCCTGAGTGGGAAGGTGGGTTTGTTTCTCTAATGTAGAAACAGTGATGGGGCTATGCTCATCTGAATGGGTTATAGTCATGGAGATAGATGGGGATTCTGCAGGGAAGAAGGAAAAAGTAGGAATTAGGAGATACTTCCCCGTGCCAGCTGTGGTGGTGCATGCCTGTAATCCCAGTAGTACTTGGGAGATGAGGCAGGAAGCCAAAGCCAGTCTGGCCCCCACAGAGTACTGGCCAGCCAAGGCCACTTACCAAGGCTGTGTCAACAACAAAACAGAAAAATAGACTATCACCAAATAACAACAAACCCAGGCTTCTCCTGCTGGCCTTGGTGACAGTGGTTGAAGTCTGGACTGGAGATGTTTGAAGAAGAGGGATGAATGCAGTATCAAGCATGTTAAGGTTGAAGGTGTGTGACCTCTGGTAGGAAATGTTCAAGAAGCAGCTGAAAAGAGCCTGCTGTGCTTTTAAATGCATGAGAATCTTCCTGTTCTAGCCTAGCACTGACTCCTTCCTGTGTCTCTGACCTATGACCCAGCTTGTGGTGATGCTGGTAACTCTAGAGAGACCTGGGTAAGAGGAGGAATGTGGGCCAGGAGAGGAAGGGGCATTGGCAGTAGGGTAGGCTTCCCTGAAGGTAGCCAACTTTGTAGTGCTCTGAGATCGGCAAGTCCCACTGTCACCACTGGGTGGCAGTAGTGCTTCAGACAAGAGATGCATAGCCTAGGGGCTCTGGGCCTTACTCTGATGGGTTTGTGACTCCAGAATTGACCCTTGGATGCCATACAAGTGCTTACGAGTCAGGCAGGGGCGTGTGGCCCATTTCCAAAGATGGTAAGTGAATCAGGCAGGCCGCTGACCCAGAGCCTTATAGGGAGGGGCCTCTGGCCAATTATACTGGGTCTTTCCTTCCTACAGGCTGCCCCTGCAAGGGTACAGGGGTTGCTAATAAACAGGAAGGGTTGTGGTCACATGGACGGCCTACTTGAACATATGACAAAGGAATGCAGTCCCCATATCTTTGTGCCAGTAGACAGTACAGGTGCCTGTGTACTCAGAGCAGGAGTACCAACTCTACCTTCATGATGATGCATGGACTAAAGCAGAGACTGACCACCTCTTTGACCTCAGCCGCCGCTTTGATCTACGCTTTGTAGTCATTCATGATCGGTATGACCACCAGCAGTTCAAGGTGAGCTGGTGTGCACTTTGTGAGTGTCCAGCCTTCCTGCCGTCCCTTCTACATGCTCCTTAGTGTTCATCCCATGTGTCTTGATCCTCAGAAGCGTTCTGTGGAAGACCTGAAAGAGAGGTACTACCACATCTGTGCCAAGCTTGCCAACGTGAGGGCTGTGCCAGGCACAGATCTCAAAATACCAGTATTTGATGCTGGTCATGAGAGACGGCGGAAGGAACAGCTGGAGCGGCTTTACAATCGGACCCCAGAGCAGGTCACACACCTCCTCTTCTCCATTCCTGAAACCTTCTGCCTCCCACCCTCCATGGCTCGGCTCACTCACCCCCAGGCCCCTTCACCTTCCGCCCCTTCCTGTGGTTCCCTTGTTCCTTTTCCTGGTAAGAAGTCTCCTTACTTCTGGTTCCCTCACAGATAACCTAGTATTCCTTCAGCTCCCTGCTTTGGCAGCAGCCCTTGTACATGCCAAAGCAGTTCTTGCTTTTGCAGGTGGCAGAGGAGGAGTACCTGTTACAGGAACTGCGTAAGATTGAGGCCCGGAAAAAAGAGCGGGAGAAGCGCAGCCAGGACCTGCAGAAGCTGATTACAGCAGCAGACACCACTGCTGAGCAGCGGCGCACAGAACGCAAGGCTCCCAAGAAGAAGCTGCCCCAGAAGAAGGAGGCTGAGAAGCCGGTGTGGAGGCTGACCCAGCAAGTTCAGGGTGGAGGGAACATCTGGCACGGGGTCCCCAGCTTCAGCGGGCCTTTTTAGAGTGCCCTGAGTGAGTCAGTGGGCCCCCTGGTCACTCCCTGTGACCGTTAAGACTGTAACTCTTCCTCAGGCTGTTCCCGAGACCGCAGGCATCAAGTTTCCAGACTTCAAGTCGGCAGGTGTCACACTACGGAGCCAGCGGGTGAGTTACCTCATTCCAAGTTTGGGTCCTTGGCTCCAAATGGCCTAATTCTACAGCTGCTAAATGTAGAGCAATGGGAAAGGGGCCTGTGGACAGAGGTGGCCTTGTCAGATCTCTTGGCACGGCCAAGCTGCGGTTGCCTTTACTCTTCTCCACTTCTCAGCCAGTTCCAGAGGTTACTATGTGCCTCTCGCTTCCTTTAACCCCCTCATCCTAAGTCTCATGCCACGGGCTGGAGGAGGGCTTAGCTGACTTGGTCATTGCAGATGAAGCTGCCTAGCTCTGTGGGTCAGAAGAAGATCAAGGCGCTGGAACAGATGTTGCTGGAACTTGGTGTGGGTGAGTGACGCCGAGCCCTATGGGATAGCTCCCCCTCCCAGGGGCTGTTTGGGGGCAGTTCATATTGCGGGCCTTGGGCACAGTCTGGCTTGTTCTTGCAGAGCTCAGCCCCACGCCCACGGAGGAGCTGGTGCACATGTTCAACGAGCTGCGGAGTGACCTGGTGTTACTGTACGAGCTCAAGCAGGCCTGTGCCAACTGTGAATACGAGCTGCAGATGCTGCGGCACCGGCATGAGGCCCTCGCCCGGGCAGGAGTGCTGGGGGCCCCTGTCACACCAGCACTGGGACCAGCCCCGGCCGCTGCTGAGCCAGCAGTGTCTGAATCTGGACTTGGTCTTGAGCCCACCAAGGACACCATCATTGATGTAGTGGGTGCACCCCTCACACCTAACTCGGTAAGAGCCTGGACAGGCCTGGGGGAGCATGCCCGGGCAGTACAAGAGAACACACATTTGTTTAGAGACCCCACTCCCTCCAGGGCCTTCAAGGAATGCTTGCCACCGTGAGGGGAGAGCCTGACGACAGCAGTGGGTTGACTATTGGGCCTCTTCTCTGAAAATGACAGACACTAAGCCTTGAGTCAGACCTCAGAGGCCACTAACTCAACACTTTCTATCTCTTCAGCGGAAACGACGGGAATCCGCCTCCAGCTCATCTTCTGTGAAGAAAGCCAAGAAACCATGAAGGGCCATCAGGGTTGGTGGTATGGTGTAAATAGAGCTGTTAAGTTGGACTGAGCCGATTCTGTTTCCTTCCCTCCTCATATCCTTGGCTGGGATGACACTGTGATAGATCCATCACTGTAGTGAGTCCCTAAAGGCTTGCCTGCAAGGCCCACATTCAGGCTGTTAACCACCTTTTTGTTGCCTAGACCTCGACCTGTGGCTTTATATTTAAGATGGCCTTATACACAGATGCCAGGTCCTTGTGCTCGACACCCAGTCTGTACATCTTTAGCGAAGGCATCAAAAGGTACTGCAGTGGCAGCTGCTCACATGCCGATGGCTTTGTGTGGAGATGAAGCCTGGAGCATCAGCAGAGCAACAGCCTTCCACACAAGGATGGCTCCACACACTAGGACCTTGATTCCCCGACTTTATTCAGTGGCACGTTCACAGCAGGGGTGGGGGTGGACACAAGGTAGGGCCTGATCTGTCCTGGAGCCCCAGGGGCACCACACACCATGCACTATGGATAGGAGGGGGCACAGGGGGGGCTTGGTGGCCCCAGCAGAAGCCTGTGTACCAGGGAGAAGGCAGTGAGTACCTGTGTTCCCCCTAGCCCAGGCCCATAATGGCAGGGGCTAATACTGGGCTGAGACTGGGGACTGGGAGTGGGGTTAGGGCACAAAGTGTCTGCTCCAGAGGGGCCAAGTGGCCAAGCCCTCACACAGGGCACAAGCCCGTAGGGCAGCTGGGGACACTCTGGGGCGCAGAGCTGTGCCACTCTCCCTTTTCCCTCTAGTGAGGGAGAGGAGGATTCTGGTTTGGGCCAAGCAGCTACCCTGTCCTGCCCCATCCTGTCCTCTGCCAATCAGAAGGGCTTTGATGTCTGCTTGAAGATGAAGCCTCGGTATGCCAGCGTCTTCATGATGTTGGCAATGTTCTTGCAGTCATCTAGAGAGAAGAGAAGACATTTAGAGAGGGGCCAGATTCAGGAGCCATAGGCCTGAGGAGGAGGACATCTTCAGCCTTGGTTTGGGCTTGGGTGATACTGGGCCTGCTGGAAGCCTGGACTCAGTGCTTCTCAGTCCCATAATTCATGCTGGAAATTGGCCGCTGTGTCCCATCCCAGCCCCAGCGGTGATGTATGGGCGCCGTCGCAGTAAGAAAAAGGCAGAGTAAATGTGTAATTTCTCCCTTGACGGCCCCTGGCCGCTGGGCGATCCTTCTTGTTGCCGTCGCGTGGGGACGGCCTGTCCGCCACACTCTGTCTTTCCGCCACCCGCCTTGATGTCTCCATTTCATTATTGTGCGGCCATTTATCACACCCACGGCCAGGGTGACTTTGTCGGCACTTGTGTATGTGTGTGTGGGGGTGGCCCAGGCCAAACTCAACTGGTGACAAGGTACCAGACTTGGCATGGGTGTCCCAGAACCCTGGGAAACACCTGTCCTGGATACCTGTCCCATGTAGCTTCAGATAGGCTGGGGAAGGCCCTGGCTTATGTGCTGTCAGCCCTTCCAGACCTATCCATTAGTCAACCTACATCCTGCCTCTGTCCTAGTAGGCTGGCAGCTGGTCACCTTCTGGGACCTTGTCTCTGCTCAAATACCAGGTTAAATAGGCTGTATGTGGCAGGCCCTATCAGTTTCTCTCATACTGGCCCATAAAAAGCTCCATGCTCTAAGCTACTGTGGTAGCTGGGAGGCTGCAGGGACGCTGCAGGGACTCTGGGCACTTGGCCAGGACTGGACTTGTTCCACCACTAGATGCAAGAAGGGCAGCAACTCAGAGCCTGTCCTACCATCGCAGCATTTTCTCTCTGCCTGTAGATCATGACCCCTTTGGGGCTGAATGACCCATTTTCAGGGGTCATATATCATATCCTGCATATCAGCTATTTACATTACAATTCATAACAGTAGCAAAATTACACTTATGAAGTAGCAGCTTGATAATTTTATGGCTGGGATTCACAAATTAAAAGAAAGGTCGCAGCATTAGGAAGGTTGAGAACCATTTAGGAAGCCTAGCACAGAAACTGCCCATCTACCTGGGTTTCTTGTCCAGCTTCCCAGGGCAGTCTCCAACTGTCTCCCACCTCCCTTCCTTGTCCCTGGGCCATAGCCTCGTTTCGTGGATGCTATGATGCAGAAGTACCATAATACACTGATGGCATAATCAAGTGAGGGGTAGTGGTGAGGTCAAGAGACCTTGGAATATTTTCCTTCCATTGAGCCTCCATGCTTGTCTATCGCCCAGGAAAGGGGACCTGTGTACCCTGCGAGCTAAGGAAAACAGTCTCATTAGCCAAGGGTCTAGGGCAGGCCGATCATATGAGATCCTGTCTTAGAAGTGTTCAATATGTATGTAACTATAGTGGACAGAGGTGTGGGGAGTTGATACTGTGTTTCTCCAGGGACTCTGCAAACCAAGAGGGCTGGTCTGCTCTGAGGCAGAATGGGGAGAAGACAGATTGGTGGGTAGTGGCGGCCATGGCAACTCCAGACATGACCCATCCCCGTGGTTTATGGGCCGGACACGCACCCCGCTCAGCTAAGGCCCTGTCATTTGTCTCCCTTAGTGAGTACGCCAGTGCTGTGGGGGTAGAGGGTAGAGGGAGGGGTATGGCAGGAGGAGCTAGGCAGTTGACAGGGGAATATGACAGGAAGAGAAAGGCCTGGGGAGTTGTGGGGCCAGATGCAGTGATGGCATTATTGAGAGGTGGGGGCGGGGGGCAGATGGACCTGGGACAGAGGGATAGTCTTCCCAAATAAAACAGCCCTGTCAGGGCACCTCAAATCCTTCCTGTCTCCAGCACTCTGGAGACCATGGCCGCTGTGCATATTAAGAATAAGTCCCCTCGTTATCTGCAATTACCCAGCGGCCACACACCTCATTTCTTCTAGCAGAAAAGAAAATTAGTTTTCTATTGACTTCATCTGGCTCCTCCCTTACTGCTGGACAAATCACTCAATCTGCCTCCCCTGGCCTAAGTCAATGTCCTAGCTAGACCCTAGGCCACCATTGAGCAAGTGCCAATTTACCTATACCAGGAGGTGCCGGCACACGTCTGTCTTGACCTCTCCCCATGCCATACACGGCACAACTTCACCCAAATCATGAGCTCTCGCTACTCCTGAAGGCTGTCCTCCCCAACCGGGGCCTTTCTCTCCAGCCCTACCGTAAATTCAAATCTTCACACAGTTCTCTCCAGATAAACAGAATCAAAACACTCCCAATACTGAATATTCTCTCCATGTTTTGTACTCTTCCTCCTGCATTCTCGACCTCAGAATTTGGCATCTTATGTAAATCACTGGAAACTTCCAAGGGGTCAACATCTCACACTGGTCAGATCTAACCAGGTGTGAAACCTCTGTAGATTTGGTTTCCTTATTCTCTGAACCTGGGGGTCACAACCATCAGAAAACACATATTTCTGATGGTCTTAGGAATTGAGACACTGCTCAGTTCAAAATTACAGCTAAGTAGCAAAAAAATAATAATAATAATAATAATTTTATGGTTGGGGGCCACTACAACATGACCTGTATTAAAGGGTTGCAGCATTAGGAAGGTTGAGACCCACTGCTGATCAAATGCTTCCATTCTCCAGCGGCCAGTCAGCTGTAAGTCCACAACCTGTAATTCTTAGATTAAAACAAATAGTCTGGTCTGTCCCTCAGATGCGCCCTCTTGTAGCCAACATGATCTTTTTTATACAAATCTTTAAAAAATTTTATTTTTATTTTATGTACATTAGTGTTTTGCCTGCATGTATGAGGTAGTCGAATCCCCTGGGACAGGAGTTTCAGACACATGTGATCTGCCATGTGGTTGCTGGGAACCCAGGTTCTCTGGAAGAGCAGCCAGTGCTCATAAACGCTGAGCCATCTCTTCAGCCCCTTTTATACAAATCTTATCATGTCCTTCCCTCTTTAAATTCCTTCAGTGGTTTTTCCTGCCTTCTATTTAAAGTCTGGGTGTTTTTTTTTTTTTTTTTTTTTTTTTTTTTTTTTTTTTAAGATAGAGTCCTGGGTGGCCTGGAACTCAGAGATCTGTGTGTTTTTTTTAACTCTGTGTGTGTGTGTGTAGGTCACAGGACAACTGTGGGAGTTGGTCCTCTCCTTCTGGGGTGGGGCCGTAGAGATCAGACTCGGGTCAGAAGGTAAGGTGGCAGACAGTTACACACACCGAGCCTTCTCATTCATCCTACACTGCGCCCCTTGTTGAACGGTTCTGGGGCTTAAACGTAAGGCAGCGTACATGCGAGGCAAACACTACCACTGTACTGTGATCTCAGCACCCCCATGCCCACCCCCAGACAGGGTCTCAAACTTACTATAGATGACAATAACCTTGGCCTTGAGCTCCTGGTCCTCCTGCTTCTACCTCTTGTGCTATGGTTACAGGTATGTGCCACCATGCCTAGCTCTCGGCCCGTTTTGTTTTTTGAGACAAGGTCTCATTAAGTCCCCAAGGGAGGTCTGAACTCACTGAGTAGCCTAGACAGTTCTTGGACCATAATCTTCCTGCTTCAACTTTCACTGTAGCTGGGACTGCAGGTCAGTGTGACCAGGCCTGGCAAATCTTTTAATATAACTCAGTCTTGGCAAAAACTGATCCCTGTTGCTCCTGGCCTTACCCCTGTAACTTGCCCAGATTTCTGCAGTACTATCTCAAGGAGCATTTACTGTTTTCTGAAAATGTCAAAGCATGCTCTGGAGTCATACAAGCCCATTACAGTTTGAACTTGTGAAAATGCTGTACCACGTAAGTATCTGGCAAGTGCTTTGTTCCTCCAGGCCCCAGTTTCCCCCACAGGGCTGAGAATAGCCACAGCATCACAGTGAACAAGGTGCCACCACTTGCATCTTTGCATAGCTGTTCTTTGTGTGGCCAGATGAGCCACTGCTGAGAAAGTGTGTGCTCTGTTGCGCATGGCTTAGATGACAGACTGGCTGGTACACATGATAAAACGAATTGCCTTTACTACATAGACTCACTTCTGAACCTGTACAGCAGATCCTGAGGTCTTATTTGTGGTGATTGGTTTACTATCATGGAAACCCAAAGGGATAAAGAAATTTGCTCCAGGTCACCTTACAAGCTGGCAGTTAGACTGTAAGGCTAGGGCTCTTTCCCTAATTTGGAGACTTTGTTGTTCCTTTAATTACATTTATTACTTGTGTATAGCTATGTATTCAGAGGACAACTTGTGGGGGTCATTTCTCTCCTTCCACCATGTGGGTTTCTGGGAGCAGGGAAAGGTAAGACAGATTTGAAGCTCTAAGACCATCTGGGTTAGTCGGCAGCTTTACCTCTTTAGCATCCTTTGCAGAGCTCATCAGGCCAGCTCAAGTGTGCTATGACACGGGATGGTAAGGTGCTGTATTGTGTCCATAACGGTGGCCTCTTAACCTTCAAGGTCTAGCAGGCCAGCCACATCAGCTTGAGCGCGAGAGCTTTTTTTTTTTCTCCTTCTGGACATTAACATTCTTGATATTAGAAATATTCTTATATTGACAAGACTAGGATGGAAGGGTGACAGCTACACAAGCTGTCCCTCAGAAGGGAGGGCAGAGCAAGCAAGGAAGGCTAAGTCTGTTGGGTATCTCCATAATCAGAGCTTCTTGGCAAAGCTGCTGCTGCTGGGATGGTGGCTGAGATCCCTCAGGACACAAAAAGGAGCCCTCCTGAGGTGGCATTGCATGCTTGTTAGTTATACTAGTCTAGGAACTGAAGAACAGAGGACAGGAAGTGGGTCCTATTACAGGTACTTGGAACCAGCCAGGAAGACCTTCATGAGGAAAGGGTCCAAGAAACCCTTGGAAAATAAGCCAAGGATTTTCATTCATGTACTCATTTCATTCAGCGAGTGCCAACATGTTCTGTATGCTGGGTGTATACAGGCTCTGAGGATACCCAAGACTAGCTCCCCATACTTGCA